TTTATCCTTTTCCCTTGGTCAATACACATGCAGTCCAGTACTTCTTTTGCAACTAAGCATGCAAATCTTTGCCACAAATGTAAAGTATGGAAATATTAAATGGGATTCAATTAGATTCTGCAGAACGAGAGTTACTGTGACACTATATTATTACATTATTTCAGTGATTATGGGAAGTTTTTAACACAAGCTATGTTAAAAACTTCACATAATCACTGAAATAATATAATGTTAGCTTAATTTAAGTTGATGAGCTATATATGGTAAAGATATTTCATAGCTTTTAAATACTAATTAGGATATATTTTATGTCTATCATTTACAAGTAAATATTTTTTCATGTTTGAAGCTAAAAATTTCTCTTCTTCCTACTGCATATTGATTTCAATTTAATGTAAGTTGAACTTTATATAGAGGGCATATTAAAATGTTGACAAATTTAGTCCTAAAAATACAACTTTTGAGAGTGTGAGGTAATCTCAGTTGTGTAGGTTTTAATTCAATGTTTAGATTGAATAATTTCTTCTATGTGCCATGTCCTTTCAGGATGTGGGCAATCATGGCTCTCCACAATTTCCTGTCCTTTTTAGCTTTTAGTAAAGTTTTTGTTTTGCTCTCTCCTAATCTGTTCTGCCAACCATTTACACAAGCTCACTAGTATAGTTTATGCACTGCTTTCCTCTGACCCTCTTGCTTTCAATGGCCTGTGAATGTTAACTTTTCTAAACTCTTTCCTCATTATGTGCCTTAGAAATTTCCACTGTCTCTTTTTGATTCTGATAAGTGTCTTTTTTATTTCCATTTTCCTTGAAACTTTGTTGTTCACATGCTCAGTCCATGGTATTCTCAGTAGCCTTCTGTAGAACCACATTTCTAAATGATATATCTTTAGCAATACTGATATTCTGCATGTCAAATAAAAAAGCTCAATAACTTCAAGACTCAATAGAATTCTTGCTTAATCCAATTTAAATACTGTTTTATTAAGAGGTCATTAATTGATTATTTTATAGAGTTCATGATAGCCTTAGTTAAAAAGAATAGTAGACATAGTGATCATCAGTGTAATCACAGAGGCACATGACCAACTCCCTTCACAAACCATCCTGGGTATGACAATAAACTACATCCATTGCCTGGGTAAGACAATAAACTACGTCCAGCAGCAAGACTTCTGATCAGGAAGTTTTGAGGAGCATGGAACCACCTCTTAATTGCTGGTGTTCCCAGGTCCACCCCAACGCAGGGTGGTAGCACCTGTTAGGGTCCCAGCTATAGGCAAATAGTTGACACTCAAACTTGTGTAAAAATAGGTTTTAATACTAGAAATACTTTGTAATAAAAAAAAAAAAAAAAATATTACCAGCAATAATTTTTGAAGGAAAAATTATTATTAGCAATACTTTAAAGAAAAAAAAAAAAAAGAATACTATCAATACAAACAGATATACATTCTTTGAAAAAAAAAAAAAAAAATTAAAAACATTACCAGCAATAAAAATTTTGTCGGCATTAAATAATCCATTGAGATTGATATGCTGTAAAACAAACCAAACCATTCACAAAATCAGAGAAGTGTTCATTGATCTCTTGGGCAATTAGACTTGCTGGATCTCATCCCTCTCCAGATTAAACTATAGAAAACATCCTCCAACTTGAATGTTCACCATGGTCACAGATATGTGGCCATTAATTCCACTCAATGAAGTAATTTCATCACTAAGCGGGCTGAAGTCATAGTTGTGGAGTTCAGTCTACCCCATTGTGCTATTTTTTTTTTTTAAATCCATATCATCCCAAGCAAAGCAGTGCAGCCACTAGCATACAATGAGTGACTTTTTTTTGGAGGATGACATCATAATGAAAAGAAGTTTAGTTTTGGCGGCATTAAAATTGACAAGCCATCTTTTGCCCCAGTTAAAGATGGTCATTTTGTACATTAGCTGCCATTTTGATCTTTCTGACTGATCAGCCTTATTATGAAGGCAGGAATAAATGGTAGTGTTGTCACTGTAGATGCCAAGTTGAGAGTTTATGTCATCAGGAAGGTTGTTAATGAAGATTAAAAACAGCATAGGACCAAGGATGAAATCCTAGGGACGTTCACATTTATAGATGAGAGGCTGTTCAGGACAGCTTTCACTTCATTTAATAAGAATTACTGGATCAGCTCAAAAACATGCCCAGAGATACAGTAGCTTTTCAGCTTGTGTAGAAGACTTTAATACCAAACCCTGTCAAAGGCTTTCGAGATGTCCAATACTACAGCCTGGGCTTCACCATTTTTATCTACAGCATGATATACTAACGATAATTGTGGAAAGAGTATATCAGTAGTTGATCTGGAGAAACAAAAGCCATATTGCTCGTCTGAGAAAAGGCCTTGTGATGAGAGATGATAAACCAATTCAGCATTGATTAGGGCCTAGAGGAGTAAGAGGCAGAAGGCTAATAGGCCGATAATTGGATAGGTCAGAATTTTCACCAGAGTTCTTAAAAGCTGGAATAACAGTTAGTTCAGGAGAACACTTCTTAATGACTATTACAGGGATACCATCAGGTCCACAGCTTTTGTGGGGATCAAGGTTAGAGATGATACCAGAAACCATGAAAGGGGTTATATGCATATCACTCAGCAGAGAATCAGTTCTAAGTGGGAAGTTAGGCAGGGATACTCCACACAAGTCAAGAGTAGAGTTTCAGGAGAATTTATGGGCAAAGCATTCAATTTTATCAGCTAAGGATGATAACACCTCAAATAAATTGAAGTGGGAAGGAATAGAGACCTTGCACTTATTTAGTACCCTATTACAGAGACACCAGTAGTTACAAGAGCCAAAGTTTTTAGAGGTTATGTGGTGCCTCATTCTCTCAGCAAACAGGGACTTAGCTTCTTCAAAGACTTGCTTATATTTGTGATGAGCAGTATTGAATGGACACCCATTATGACGAGAGCTGTCACGCTGGTATAGCTGGAAAAAGTGGTTCCCATGTGCTATGATGGCTGAGCCTGCTGGTATGAACCATAGAAAGGTTGCAGTTTCACCTGGTACTTTTCGAGAAGGGATAAAAATATCCATGCTGGCTTTGACCAAAGAAGAAACTTCTGTGGCGCAAGTTTCAATTGGGAGGTTGAAGAGTTTAGTCCAAGGGGCGTCATGAAGAAAATCCTGGAATTAATCCCAATCAGCATGCTGGTACTTGAAAGAGATCTTATGGATAGGGGTTCCTGTATAATGGATGCTTGGAAGGAGATATCAATAGCTACCACAGAGTGGTCAGAGTTACCAAGAGTGCAGTAGAGTGAAGCTTGGCAAGAGCAGGGAAGGAAGGTAAGAAATAGATCCAATAGAGAAGCATGTTGCTTGGTTTGGCTAGGGAAACAAGTTGGCCTTTGCCCCTACAAGAAAATTCATCTGCATTTTAACTAAGTGTCCAGTTCCCTCCTCACAAGAAAAGTTTGGTGGGGAAACTAGTTGCTGATGACCCAACTATATGGCTAGAAGTACTAGGTTACATGGTACAAGTAGCACTCATAGCATGATCTGACAATAGTAACTTTGCATAGTAAATTGATACAAATGACAATCTATATGAATGTTGCCTAAAGTTCAGAGATTAAATATTTTCTTTACGCCTAACATCCTCTTTTTGATTTTATCACAGCAACAAATCAAAGGGTCCTTACTGTAACTGTGTGAACATACACTCTCCCATAGTGTTACTTAATCACCAATGAGATACTTTTGAGTTAGCCTGTTTACTAGGTCATATACATCAAGCAATTAGATTCTTTTATATTTTTATGTAAAATGTTGCATCACTCAAGTTTTTCAGTGCCACTTCCTAAATTTATCTCCCTAAAACTTCTGACTTTTCCAAAAAACTAAAAATTCTCATAAAAAGTAGAATCCAGTGAAACAACTGATAGTAATTTCAAAACAGGATTTTACAAACGATTTTGAAAAGCGGAACATATACTGGGATAAGTGTGAGAGGTTCCAAGTATAGCAGTTTGAAGAGTATTAAGGCATACTGTGCTAGGTAGGCTACTATTTTTAGTAAAATTAAATGGTTGGTACTTTCTGAACAAACCTTAGTCTAGCTTTCATAGTAAGTATTTGAGTTCTTGGTTATAAATTTAATATTGCCAAAGCTAGTATCAGCAAGACTCAGTGTCTATAAGACAACAGCCAATTCTAAAAATTCAGTGGGAAATAAAAGCTTCTGTGTAGCCTTGCATTTTTTGGAGGGGGAAGTATAAAAATAAGTAATTAATAATACCTTTTAACCAAATGTTATCTGCCTTCCATCAGCATGGCTGATGCTAACCTCCAGGAAACTGACTTGTGCCTTTTCAAGCTAACATTCTCAGTTGGCATGAGCTGGAAAGACTATATTGAATCCACTTAGTGGCTTTAATGCCTTACATGGAGTGAAACTGATTAAAAAAAAGCTCTAAGGTCTTTTTACATGAAAAAAAATAAGAAAGATTTAAAGTTTAAAAAATATTGAAAAAAAATAACATGATTACTTAAAACGAATATAAGATTTACTTGCCTGTCCACTGTACAGATTTGTCAAAATTCTAATAACAGTTTTGACCCATTTAGCAAGGAAATTATTTTATAACTAAAAACTACTAAGTGCTTGTTCTTGAAATAAAAGTTAGTAAATATAATTCAATTTTTATGTTTCATAGGTTTTTACTTATCCACTCTTATACTCCATATTTGACTCGCAATTTCTCTAGGTTACATTTAGACGTGACAGCTTCATGGCAGAAAAGGATCAAAGTCAACAAAAAAAATAATGAACATGTGAAACAGTACAATTATTTCCGATAACATTTTGTATAAAAAGCCTTTCCCCAAGTTTGTGGGGAAAAAAATATACATAAATTCTTGTATCATTTATGATTAGCAAGGTGACTAAATATTACTCAGAAGAAAAAAAAAGAAAGACTTTCCAGTCAATACTCCTAGTTAATATACATATCTTTAAGAAAAGAAAAAAGTTGAAAAAAGAAAAAAAAGACGAAAAGAAAAGAAAAGGAAAGAAAAAGAAAAGGAAAGAAAAGGAAAGAAAAAGGAAAAAGTTGAAAAAAGAAAAATTGAAAAAAGAAAAAAAGAAAAGAAAAGAAAAGAAAAGAAAAGAAAAGGAAAGAAAAGAAAAGGAAAGAAAAGAAAAGGAAAGGAAAGAAAAGAAAAGGAAAAGTTGAAAAAAGAAAAGGAAAAGTTGAAAAAAGAAAAGGAAAAGTTGAAAAAAGAAAAGGAAAAGTTGAAAAAAGAAAAGGAAAAGTTGAAAAAAAAAAAAAAGAAAAAAAGAAAAGAAAAGAGAAAAAAAAGATGAAAAGAACAAAAAGATGAAAAGAACAAAAAGATGAAAAGAACAAAAAGATGAAAAGAACAAAAAGATGAAAAGAAAGTTTGAAATTCCCTAAAAGGTAACGAGATTGACAGATGCCTGAATAAGGCTGGTGGACAGAATGGTCAAAACCTTAAGACATGGATATTAGTCTGAATGTAAATAATTACAACTCTAGACATTTAAACAGAAATATGGTGATTTTCTAAGCGTAGTTCAGATGTAGCACAAGGAGCACCCAGTGAGGATTGAACTCATTATTCAGTTGTAATTGATCAATCAAGATAAGCTTGCTAACCATTACACCACGTCGAAGTGCCCACATTCAAAGAGAAATATGAATTATTAGTTTCATATACAAAAAAACGGAAGAAGGAATGCAGAAATATTTTCTCCTGCATTAGCTTTTCTTTCTTTCTTTTGTTCTCTTTCCATAAATAATTTTCATTGCAAATTTTATGCTTTTCCATCCCTGCTAACTTTTCAATCACTGTCTGCACCACTTATGAGGTTGAGAATCCTTTATCTAAATTTTTGGGGAACAGAAGTGCTTCATTTTCAGATTTTTTTTTTTTTTTTTTTTGATCTGGGAATACAGAGTTTGCATATGGCATCTATAAAATGGTTTTATGCTTGGGAATCGAACTTAAGGATAAACATGATATTCTTTCACATTTCATAACACATCTTATACATATACCCTGAAAATATTTTTCTGAAAGTAGTTTTAGGATTTAACAAATTTTGTGTACATACATAATGACACTAGTCACGTAAAGCTCGCACGGATTTTTAAGTGGTGAAATTAAGTTTTCAAGTAAATAAAAATAATTTTTGCACTTTCTGTACGTGTACAAAAATACATGACCTCTACTTACAAAAAAAAAAAAAAAATATATAAATGCAGAACTTTTTGAGATTTTGTACGATACTAAGTATGAAACATCAGGTAAGTAATCCACGAACGAAGGAAATGCTGTGATGATCACTAAAAAAAATTGGCACCAACGTAGGCTACGAAGCTGAGCTTTCTGAAATTTTCCATTTGTGGCAAGTCACATCAGCACCTGAAAAACTTTCGGATTTTGAAGTTTTTCAGATAAAGAATACTCAATCTATAAGTGAACTCATGTTGATCTTTTGACATATGAGGACCTAACAGATCACTTTTCAAATAAAACCATACTGCTCACACACGATTTGATTGATTTTGTGAAGGTTTGTTTTTTTGTGTAGAACCAGACACACATTTTGAAAGGACTGATAACAGAAATGATGCACAACATACTACCTACAAAGTCTCCAAACAGTCTTCCTCAGGTTTGATTTTTCTTTAGATTGATTATCAACCTGCTATTTAACCCATTTGGGGGGGTGCAGAAGAGGTGAATTCATACTTTCCCCCGAGGGTATTTGTGCAAAAAATTAATAAAACTCTGCAAGAATTTGAACTTGTCTTGCTGATTTTTATATTTCCGAACTGCTCTAGCCATTAGTGTTGAACACATTTCGTTGTGTGTGTGTGTGTGTGTGTGTGTGTGTGTGCGTGTCTGTGTAACTGTATTCTTTACATTTTTCTTTAACTTTCTTACCAACTATATTTAATTCGTTCTTCTAACACTCTTCACCTACGACATTTTTTCGATGTTGTAGGGATAAAAATTAAAGACTAGTAAAAAGTAAAAAAGGGTTCCTTTTTCGCTTTCCTTTAAAGAAAAAAGTTGCATCTGTCAGCAAGATCAATTTCATTAATAAAATTGTTGAAGTACTTAATATTTTTGTAATTGTTTAAACTGGAGAAGGAGTATTTAAAAAAAAATGATTTTTGTTATTGCTTGTTGCTATCGAGGCTTTCAGAAAACGAAAAAAAGCTTATTCAGCATCATTTGTTTTGTAAACAACGGAATAAATTGGAATTTGACTAAAATTTAGTGACTTTTTTTAGTCAAATTCCAATTTAGTTTTGTTTAGTTTCTTAGTTATTTAGTCGCTAAATAACTAAGAAACTAAACAAAACTAAAAATGTTAAGCTGCTTTTTATTATTTTTTATTTGAAACAAAAACATGAACTCAACAACAGAATATTGGTTGAATTCTTGTTTTATGAATGGTACCGAAATTTAAATCTGAAGTCTGTATTATTAATTTTATTGTCCATCCACGGTTTTAAAAACAGTGGATGTTAAAATAAAATTTGTTTTAGTAACCAACCAAAAAAACAGAATCTTTTTTTTCTTTTTACACTGAGGTGGAATGACAAAATTTAAAAAAAAAAAAAAAAAAAAAAAAACTTTTAAAAATAAAATAATTACGTGAGAGGATATTTTTACTTTCACAGTTTTAAAAGTTGTTCAACTAGATTTTTAGTTTAAAGATTTTAATTCAAAATCGAAATTTCTGGGCAAAAAAAAACAAAAAAAACATATATTTTGTAAATGAAGAATACCGAGAGGTCTAATTTACATTGCCCCTCACAATTGCGAAGTAAGCATCGGAATTTATAAAAATATGATGACTGAAAAATGTATATTCAAAGGAGTTTTTAGAGCATGATACTGCGATCAAGACATTTTTCTCGTCCTTTTTTATGAACTAGTGACATTTAAAGTGTGTAAAATCAAACCCCAAGCGAAATACTAAGAAAATAATGGCATTATTAATTACACATTTTAAACACGGCTTAAATTTTTGATGACATTTTTCTTTTGAAATTCTATTGTGAAGACTGGAAAAGATATATGAACTTAATTTAAACAAGTAATTCAATTTCTAAAATTTGGTCACACATCAATTTACATTTTACATACCTTTTTTCTCCGTGAATAAGGAGATATATGTACAGACTAGAGAGAGAGGTGGTTGATAATTATTGCGATTTTTAAATTTGATTGTTAATTAGTAATATTTGGCGTAATTTTGTTTAAAGTTCGTTACGTTTTTCTTACTTTCTGTCTGACTGAGTAAAATAAAATAAAAAAAAAGACTAGAAATTTAAAAATGAATTATAAAAAAAAATCAAACTGATTTCATTGCATAGAGCATTTGATATTAAAAATTGGGAAGGATAATCGAATCTAAAATTAAAAATAAACAGAGCTTCCTTTTCTAAACATAATTTTTGTTATTATTCAAAAAGAAACAAACCCATTAAATGTAAAAATGAGATTTAAGGAGTAATTCACTTTTTAAAATTATTGTTATTTTAAAAATAAAGAGTGTCTTTCATTTTTCTATCAACTAAAAATAAAATGTTAGCTAGTCATACATTCATTAATTAGACAGGCGTGTAAAAAACGTAATGAAAAAAAAAGTAGAAAATAAAAAAAAAATCGGTTAAGTTTTGTTTGACACAAAAATTGAGTTTGAAATTAAAAATATGTCTAAGTTAATCATGAAATTGATTGTCACGATTTGAATTAAATACTGAATTTTGCAAACGAACAAAAAACACCTCGGTCGCCCCAGTCAATCAGTTCAATGATAATTTTGAAAAACCCAACCCAAAACAAAAGACAGGAAAAAAAAAAAACAACAAATACTTACTTAAGCAAATATTTATGTTTTACTTTTAAATGGTGACAGGGGACTTTATCTTTTTAGTCTTTCTTCCCCACGACGACAACGTCTATTTCTTTCTCATACCATGTTTAGGGTCCACCTGGTCACCAGCTGAAAACAGTCATTCATCCGACACTTAACAAAGAAGAAACCCTAACCGACTGGTTTGCATTTGTAACGGTCCCTGATCGGACAAATGCAGCAACAGCACGGACGATGAAGATTGTTAAATTCTGCTAAATGTCATGAATTTGTAGGACGTCGTAAAAAACAACCACTTTTAAAGGCAACCAAGCATTTAGCTATAAAAACAGCATCAACGATAACAGCAGCAGCAGTGCTTGTTGTTCATTATATAATAAAAGAAAAAATGTATTCAACCATCCGCTTATAGCGTCCCTGACACAATGAACACTAGGTTCGTTCCAAACCACTAGCTACTCTAAGGAAGGAGATCTATTGTGAAAATAGTTAAAAAAAAAAAACGTACAAGAAATTAGTGAAAAAAAACTCACTTAATTTGTGATTACTTATTTATTTGTGATCGTCACTAAGAGGTGGTTACCAACTTTTTGGTTGGTCGGATACTGGTTCATGTATTATTACGGTAGAAAAAAATTAATGTTAGTTAGAAGATGCTGTTTAATATTTTTTTTAAAAGCCATGTCCCTCCAGGACGTAAGCGATAACTTTCAAGTTTCAATCAACAAATTCCTTTTTCATTTTATGTGAATAATTGCAATATATTCTTCTTGGAAAAGACAGTGTGTATAAATATTTTTTTATTTTTACTGCTTTAAAAAGTTTTAGTCTTGCTTGAATAAATCGTCTAGAGATGTTTTTTTAGTACACGTTTCTTTGAGAGAAGTCTATTTTTATGAAGACCAGATGGTTTGTGTAAAAAATTATTACACTTATCTTTTTCGGCTCAGCGGTTAAAAACCGCGAAAATTGTGAAGGATCCATTTCATTCAAGTTATGGAAAATTATTTTTTTCGTATATACCGATCAATGAGGAGACGTGATCTCAAGCTCTAGTAAGAAGCCGAATGGGGACTTTGTGAGCCTATTTTTTTTCGGAATATATAGGTCTCAGGTCAGTGGATGAGGCGAGAAGACCTTTTGACAGCAAGTGGGGCAAAGAAAATCAAAATCAAGGAGCAGAAGGCATTTGGCATCAAGAAATGAGTATCATGAAGGCACAAGGTTACAAGCCAGCTGCAGAGAGACTCAAGAATTTTAAAGTTCAAGTGAAAATTCTCCTGTGGTTGGACAACAAATAATTCAAAGAAATGTTCCCAAGTACGAACTGTGAATTTAAGAGGGACTTTTCTAAAATTAGTTAGTGAAGACCAGTCTCAACCCCTTTCCCTCTTTTCGGTCTTGTGCCATAATTGTATTTTTAAATATCGGAGACGCTCGTGGGCCAAGTAAAAGTAGTTTTCTTCTTTTTTTTTTTCTTTTTTTTTTTTTTTTTTTTTTTTTTTTTTTTTTTTTAAAGGTGGTTGCACCTTTGTTTTTCTGCCTCCTTGAATTGATTTCTCTTTTTGTCATTGAATCAGAGTATTTTTTCCATTTTTCGATGATAATCCTTTTTATCAGAAATTTGTTATCCTGCCTCAATAGGCGCACAAAGGTTTGTTTGTACCTTTTTCGTATTTGTGTAATAAATGTTTTTCCTTTAAAAGTTTTAGAAAAAATATGCTACACTACAGTAACATAATACATTTTTTTGTGCAAGATATAAAAATTTTGCTTTACTAGTAGCTTCAATTTGTTGTGCCAGACACAAAAAACCTAAAGGACACATGGCACAGTGGATAAAGGCGTTGGTTAGATCCAGTGACAGGACCCAAAGAGTGTGAGTTCAATACCCGGTTAAGGCAGTGGAGAACTTTCAGAGGGAAATTAACAGGAGATAACTGATAACTGACATCCATCAAACATGGCACGTGGAACTAGAACAGTCTACCCCGGTGACCGAAATAACATTCCAACCACCTGAATAAGGCCGGAGCGTACAATGGCCAAAATATTGTCATAAATATGGCGACAAAGATGAGGACAATAGTCTGAATAATGTAAATAATGTACATAATACCTCATCTCAGAAATATAGACAGACAAAAAACCTAGTTGGTAAAAACAGCAACTCTCGAAAAATAGGGTAACTTAAAGAACAAGATGACCACCGCGTAAATTTTTAAAAGGAATAACATATTTATTTATAATTACAAATTGGAAAAGTACAAAATAAAGGTTGCACAAAAATTTCCTTTTGTGCGTCTCTTTTTAGCAGGATAAAAATTTGAGGCAATAAAAAGATTAAACTCAGAAAAAAGGGAAAAATTACAAGTCACCAAAAATGTTGATAAGACCAACGGAATTGTCGTACGAATCTGACTTGAATCTGTCACGTCAGATTTATAACCTCTCACTGGATTGTCCTTTTATGTGATGTCTTGTGAAAACTGCCGAAGTTGACGCTCTGCCGTTTTCTTTTCTCTTCCCCCTTCCCAACTGACTTGCTATTACTACTAAGTTTTTGTGTTTAGTACAAAATCTAAGATTTGGTAGGAAATAAAATTTTATAAGTGGAGTCGTTTTCTATTGCCTTCTCCTCGGTTTAGAATTCAGGACTTCTTTTAAACTAGTGGCCACCCCAGGTTAAAGAGTCTAATCTACTCTGCTAATTAATCTAGAAATGGCGGGATGAGAAGGGCGGGATCATGTCCTTTCCAAGTGTGAAAGTGAATGCAATAGGCTAGCCTGGAATTTGAATTTGGCTCTCCAATTTCACTGATATCCGTTACACATGTTGTAGTAATGAATTGATAACACACGTTACTACCCGATTACGCTTAATTCATTTTTTTTTTTTTTTTTTGTATATAGTAGTTTGGGCCAGAGTCATGGTATCCAGCTCCCTAATCCAGCCCTATGATGTGCATCCCCTCGATAAGTTTTAAGGTTACATAAGATTACAGTAGATAATTCAAATATCTACAATATACCAAGCAGCCAAGGCGATATACCTTAGTATGTTGAGTGCAGAGCCCTACTTCTATTTCGGATCTAAGATTCAGAGTGGAGTATCTATATTCGATCTCTGGAACTTAATGGAGATAACAATGGAAATAATGGATAATCTCAGTTGTATTGGAAGAGATAATGGAGGGAATGAAAAGACACGTGCAAAGAGTGAGAGAAAAGCAGAAGCATGAGATAATGGAGAATATTAGTTGTCAGCACTCATGGAATTTGCATGGATGCCGGTAGTACATTTTAATTATATTTCCAAACAATAGCGATCCCCCCGCCCCCAAAAAAAAGCAAAGAAAAGAAAAAAGTAGTAAAGCAGGCTAATAATGTCTGTAATCTAATTACAAATGAATTTAAAGATTGCCTTATTCATTAGAGCAACAAACGGATACCTGAATTTTGAGGTTCTTATGTATTTAGTATGCGAAGTGTATCATCCTCCAAAATAAAGTAAAAAAAGAAACGTATATGTATATTTTTGTAAAATCCGAGATAACCTTGTATTATAAATCTCTAGAACTGAGTACTTTATTACAGAGTAGTGATAGCAAGCTAGTCTCACGCACTCTAGTGAGTTCAGTTCTGCCTGTGTGTTTAGAAAATGCCTATAAAAATGTAGAACTTCTAGGATATTTAAGATTAATATTTAGAATAACAAAAATATTCTATTAACACTGAGTCTACTAACAGAGTTTGGAACAATTTTTTTTAAGTTGTATATACAGTAAATAACAACAGCAAACATTTGCATATCAACAATTAAAAAGCAACGTACAAAATGGGTATTTGCAGAGATCTATAAAAAGGTGTCGGAGAGGTAAAATCGGGAATGCTAAGACATGCAAATTCTAGAAATGATGGTGTAATGATAGCAGATAGGCTTATACAGTGT